GTGGTAAGGAATTGCACTGCTAACTCAAAGGTAAATTGTTCTAATCCACTAGCTAGTCTACTGGAGAAAGATGGACAATTTCATTCCATGTGACCTCTAAAAACAAGCTAGAAAGCCACCCAGGGGTCAGTTCTGACTCAGAGTCACAACAACCACCATTTCAGGAAGTGGGATGTGATAAAAATCTGATGATGCTACACTTAAGACATGGGTTAAAAAATTAGCAAAGTTCCAAAACTTGAACAAATATTAATTGTGATGTTTCTGCAACCAACTTTATCTTTAAGGAGCAATATGGTTGCACTCCCTCTCAATCAGATTTGTTTAATCTTTGGTGGTTCATGGTATGTTCAGTAGGCTTCAACAACACCACTAACCAAAGACATCAATCCTTCTTTAGTCTCCTTTATTCTTTGTCCAACTTTCACATGCATTTGAAGCAACTGAAAATATCATGGTTTCGGTCAGATGCACCATAATCTTTAAACATCCTCTTTAGCAGTTCAAAGAGATTTTTGGCAGCTGACTTGCCCAGTGAAAACTCTACTTCATTTCTTGGCTTCTTTTACTATGAGAATTGTTTGTGGATCCAACTAAAATAAAATCCTTAAGAAACTCAACCTTTTCTCTGTCAATTAGGATGTTGCCTATTTGTCCAGGTGTTGAGGTGTAATCAATACTGAAGGCTGTAGTTTTTATCTTCTTCAGTAAATGTGTCAAATGTTCTTCATTTTCTGCAAGTGATGCACCAGTTGTTGTGTTATTGTTAGAGTAGGTCCCATCAAGTTGAGTACAATTCAAAGCAACCCTACAAAAACTGTCCTATTGTGCCATCCTCCCAAACTCTTATACACTCAGGCCCATTGCTGCAGTCATCATGTCAACACCAACAGGTCAAGTGTCTTCATCTCCTTCTCTGTCCCTCCACCATCCCAAGCATGATGTCACTTTCCAAGGAACAATCTCCCCTACCAACATAAAGTAGCACAAAGTATGTAAGACAAAGCTTCATCATCTTTGCCTCAAAGAAGCACTCTGGCTCCACTTTCTCCAAAACATATGTTTGTCCTTTTGGTATTCCATGGGATGGATAGTCAGTACTCTTCTCCAACACCAAAGTTCAAAGGCATATATTCTCCTATCATCCTTATTCATTGTCCAGCTTTCAGAAGCATAAAAACCAATTATTGAAAAGACCTTGGCTTGAATCAGAAATGTCTTATCCCTCAAACTAACATCATTCATCCTCAACAATTTGGAGAGGTCCCTGTCTACAGATTTTGTCAGTGAAATAGGTCTCCTGATCTCCTGACTGCTGATACCAAGTGTATTGAGGACAGATCCAAGATAAGATAAGATGAAATAATTGATAGTCTTAATCTTTTCTCTGTCCATTGTAATGTTACCTATTGGTTCAGTGGGGAGAATTTTTGTTTTCTTGACACTGAGATGCAATTCATATTGAAGGCTGCAGCTATTAACCTTCTATAACAAATGTTTCAAGTTCTCCTCACTTTTAGCAAGCAAGATTGTGTCATCTGTGTAAAAAAAGTGATTGTACCAGTTGTTGTTGTGTTATGTGCCGTCAAGTCTCTTGCGACTCATAGCGACCCTATGTACAACAGCCCTAAACCCTGCTCTATCCTGTGCCAATCTCATTGCCTCTGACACATCCATCCCGATTACCCCAGTCACTGAATCAGTCCACCTCATAGAGGGTCTTCCCCTCCTGCGCCGACCCTCCACCCTGCCCAGCATGATGTCCCTCTCCAAAGACCTGTCTCTCCTTACAACATGTCCAAAGGATGTCAGGCGAAGCCCCAGAATCCTTGCCTCCAAGGAGCAGCCTGATTTAATCCTCTCTAGGATGAATCTATTTGTTTTCTTGCCAGTCCATGGTACATTCAGTACTCTTCTCCAGCAGCACAGCTCAAAGGTGTCAATTCTCCTTCTGTCCTCCCTAGTCATTGTCCAACTCTCTGATGCATAACAAGTGGTTGCAAAAACCATGGCCTGTATCAGGCGCACCTTAGTCTCCAAAGAGACACCGTTGTTCTTGAGTATTTAAGAGAGGTCCCTAACCGCAGACTTTCCCATCACAATAGGTATGTCAAAATACCAGCAGGGTCACCCATTGTGGGGAAATTTCAGTGGAGTTTCATACCAATACATATTAGGGAGGAAGATTTTGTGAGACATTTCCAACACTAAGCCCAAGAAAACTTGTATCATTGATGAGAAGAAGCCATTTTAAAAAAAGGAGAGAGGGCTGAAAGATGAGACATCTAACATAGAAAACATTCAGAATACACATTGGCCAAAACATTGCTCTTAAGCATAATAATTGTGGTGGATTGTGCTGTTGTAAATGAAGTCAGGGCAAACCTGTCAGCAGCTACTGTTTCTTTATATACAATGAAAATGGCAAGGAAACACCAAGACAAACCTGTGGCATGAACACAACCTGGGTGCAACAGAACAGATCAGAACAGATCTACAAGAAGGGCAATGTGCCTGATTAACTACCTCAGACATACATTTAATCTGAAAGGGACAAGGACGGCTCCCAGAACAGGAACAGGGCAGATGGTAAAGATATTCCCACAACTGTGTAGCATGGCGTGTAATAGGAGTGAAAACAGTACCTTGCATGAGCTTGATGTGGAACCTAAGTGAGGTAGATTGCATTCTTCCCCAGGAACAAAGTGCCCAGAGCAGAAGGATGGGAACCTAATCTACCAATCACAGGCCCTCAGCACACCAACCTTCACCAGAATTCTGAGACTACCACAAAAGGCCCTCAACACTTCTGGGACAGAGAGAACAGAATTTCAGCACTCCTTACTCTGTAGAACCAAGTCTTTGGTGATCTAGGGACTAGAAAGAATGGACAACTAGCCCTTAGTATTCCTAAGTCTGGGCAGAACAGCTCTACATGCTTGTAAGCCTGGGCAGAAGTTATCAGTGTTCCAGGTCTGTGAGAACAGTTTGCCAGTGCTCCTGGGTCTGTGGGGAATGAGTCCTTAGTGCTCCTGGATCTAGGAGAACAGGACCTCAGGGCTCCTGAGTTTGTGTAGAATGAATCCTTGATGCTCCCAGGTCTGTGGAAAACAGGTGCTCCTGGGTCTATGGAGAATGAGCCATTGGTATTGCTGGGTCTGTTGAGAGCAAGATATTAGTGACCCAAGGTTTGTGGAGAATGTGTCCTTGATGTTCCCAGGCCTAGGAGAACAGGCCCTCAGTCCTCCTAGATCTGTGGAGAAATGAGCCCTCTGTGCTCCTGAGTCTGTGGAAAATGACTGGTGCTTCTGGGTCTAGAAGAACAGATACTAAGCACTTTTGGGCCTAGGAGAACACGTCCTCAGTGCTCCAAGTTCTGTGACAATAGGGCTTTGGTGCTCCCAGGTCTGTGAGATCCTTCAGTGTGAGGCCTTCAGGGCTCCAGGTCTCTGGAAAAGAAGTCCTCAGTGCTTCTGCATGTGTGAACAGGTCCTTGGTGATCCTCTTTGGTGACCCAGATCTGTGGAGAAAAAGTACGTGGTGGTCCTTGGTCTGTGGAGAATAAATTATTTTTGTTCTCAGGCCTGTAAAGAACAGATCTTCATACTTCAAGATCTGTGAGATCATATGGCTCCTAGCACAATGTCCACTGCAGGCCAGCTTGCATGTTAGACCAGGTCTGTGTCCACCACTAAGAGGGCCAATGAGTCCATGCTTCTTGAAGCCCCAGCAACTAGCAGCTTCATCTCTTCCACATCACATACATATACACAATGCCTTTGAGTGTGGCTCTGCACTTGATATTCCAGACCCACTTGCCTTCCAACCCTTTCCTTGTGCCTTCTGTCACAGGCAGTACGGTGGGGGAGACCTCATGCTTGAAGTATACCCCAGGAGTCTGACCTTCATAAATTCAGCCATGGCTACCTGATGTTCAGAGCAGCTCCTAGACCTGGACTGACAGTAAAAACACAGATGGAGCACAAATCAAAGCCCTGTGTCCAAGGCTGGGCCCCAAACTGTTGTGTGCCCCAATTTCCTTGTTCAATAAGTGGCCCGCTTAAGGAGCGGGGCAGCCAGGAAAAACCTCTCCCCATCCTCAAGCTGCAGCCTGCATAGTGTAGAGTGATGTCCATCTGTGCTTTCTGATCAGGACATGGAGGTTATACCAAGGTGAGGGGTTGGTAACAACAGAAGTCAAGGCCCTTAGAGGTAAGCCTCACCTGGACCAACTGTCTTCTGCAGACTTCCCAAGAACAGAGAGAAAAGGGAACTTCCAGGGCTGTTGCCTCGGGGGTTCCCACCCCATTTTTAGCAGAGAGCACTGAGGCAGAGCTCTCGGCCTCAAGCCTCCTCTCTGGATGTAAAAATAGCAGCAATGATTTCTAACAATTGGCTTCTCTCTGGGAGCCACCCCCACGCAGGAGTCAGCCCAGTATCCAGGGAGCCTGGAGACAGCCACAGCCAGTTGGGATTCCTGCTGTTGGACCCCACATCTCAGGTATCCGGGCCCTTGGGGAGCCCTGCCTGCTTGGCTGGAGTAAGTGACAGTAATGACATGACACCTGTCACTGGGGAGAGAGAAAACCTCCTGTCTCTCTGCGTCCCCATACAGGGAAGGAGAGTAGGAGGACCTGAAGTGACCAAGAAACTCAGTCCCTGTGAGGGGTTAGCTGGAGGTGAGCTAACACTAGCCTGCAAAGGGTCAGAGGCTAGAGCTTGTCTTGTATGGGACAGAGAAGAACCGTGGAGAAGGAAGTCAAGGATTCTCTAAGTTCTTGCAGGGTCCATGCCAGGCTGGGGCAAGGAGGGAGTATGATTTGCAACAAGCTGAAACTGACCATCCTTTCCAGAGTTCCTGCAGGGAGGTCCCTGTGCTGAACCATGATAGAAACAGAACTGAGTTATGGCTTCTATGCTGGACTCAGCTGGGCTAGGCTATGTCTGTCTTCGGGAGCCCATACTGACCGAAAACTAGTTGGATTGGGTCTATTAGCAGGATGGGGCTGGCTGGATTCAGCAAGCCTTCTGGAGTGCTTTCAGTAGTCCTGGGCTCAGGTAGGTCAACTTGGTCAATGTGGGCATTTCTGCGCTATTCTTGACTGAGATGGACTATCCTGGATGGAAACTGGCAAGGCTAGGCTGTGCTATGCTAGATGGAGCTGGGAGAATATGGAATTTTGGTCTTAGCTAGAGTCCACTAGATAGAGGAAAATGGGCTCTAGTCAGTAGGGCTGTTCTCAGTTTGGCTATTCTAAACCATGTTGGAATGAGCTGGGTGTAAACAAGCTCAGTTTTTCTAGGCTGGAGGGGAGCAGTTCTGGGTTGGATGGGTAGGGCAAGATAACACTGGAGCTGGGGCCTGGTTGAAGTAAACTGAGCCAGAAGCTAGACAAAATTGTATGGGACTAGATGAGCTGAAGTGGACTGTGCTGGTCCGCTTGGTCTGAGGTGAACCGTACTGGGTTGTTCTTGGTTGATCCAGGCTAGAATGGTTAGATCAGGCTGGGCTGAGATGGGCTAGCCTGAGTTGGACTTGCTTGATCTCAGTTAGTCAGTGTTGGCCTTGACTAGTCGGTATTGGTCTGGACTTGGCTACCCAGGGTTAAGTAGGCTAGACTGGGCTGGTTTGGGTTGCAGCTGAGCTGGTGGAAGCTGATCTGAACTGACGGGACTGGTCTGGGTATAAGTTGGGCTAGCTACCTGGGATAAGCTAGGCTGGGCTGGCCTGGGAAAGATTAGGCTGAGTTGCCTGGTAGAAGTGGCCTAGCTGGGGAAAGGCTGGCCTGGGCTATCCTGAGCTGGAATGCCCTGGCTTGTTGGGCTGACCAAATTGGCCTGGACTACCCCAGATTGGCTGACTTGTTGGGCTGGACTGACCTGGGCCTGCCTCTGAAATAGGCTAAACTAAGTTTGAATAAAAGTAACTGAATGTGGTGGGCAGGGCTCTAATTGGCTGGCCTACTCTGTGCTGAACTGGACTGCTGAGTAGAACTGGACTGCACTAGACAAGACTGACTTGGGGTCAGGTGCAAAAAGGCTAACTTTGGCTAAACTTGCCACAGCTGGTCAACCTGGGCTCGATTGTATTGGGGACAAGAAGACTCAGTTAAATTGGCATGTCTTCTCTGGTCTTGGCTGTCTTGGGTCACCTCTGCTCACCTGGATGTCATGGACAAAGCCATCCTCAACAGGGCCAAGCTTCATTTGCTGAGCTAGTTGAGTTAGGAAGGGTTTGACTGGGCTGGGATGAGTGGCATCTGGTTGAACTGTTCTAGGCTGAGTTGGACTGAGTTGGATGAGTCAGAAGAAGCTACTTTACCCCAATAGAGCTGAGTAGGCTGAAGGTCTTCATATACTGGTCTGAGTTGCATTATAAGGGGTTATTTGGCTGAGCTGCACTGAATTGAGCTAGGATAACCTGGCTGTAATGACCTGAGTTAAGCTTGACTTAGCTGGGTTGAAATGAACTAACCTAAGCTGAACTGAGCTGACTTGGATTGGGTTTGTCTTAGGTGTGTTAGAGCTGAGCTGGGCTGAGCTGAGCTTTACTAGTTTGAGCTGGGCTGTGCTAGTCTAAGCTATGTTATCTGAGCTAAACTGAGCTGGTCTGGGCTAACCTGGGCTGGCCTGGGCTATGCTAGCTAGGGCTAAACTAGCTTTGCTAGTCTGAGTTGAATTGGGCTGAGTTGGTCTGTGTTCCACTGGGCTGTGCTAGGCTAGGCTATACTGGGCTAGGTTGTGTAGCACTGGGCTTGGCTAACAGATTTGGATTAGGCTAAGCTATGCTATGCTATGCTATGCTATGCTATGCTATGCTATGCTATGCTATGCTATGCTATGCTATGCTATGCTATGCTATGCTATGCTATGCCATGCAGGGCTGCACTGGGAATTGCTGGACTGGACTGGGCTAGACAAGGCTAGGTTGGGCTGGGATGGACTGGGCTATATAGGACTGGGCTGGCCTGTGTTGTGTTAGATGTGCTGGACTGTACTAGGCTGAACTGAATAGAGCTGGACCAGACTGGGTTAGGCTAGGCTGGGCTGAGCTGGACTGGGCTGTGTTGGCCTGAGCTGTGTTTTACCAACTAGTCTAGACTGTCTTATTCTGGCAAAGGTTGGGCTGTATTTGGTGAGGCTGAGCTGAGTTAGACTGGAATAAACTGGGATGGGCTATCCTAGTCTGAGCTGTGCTATGTTGTGCTAGGCTGTTTGGAGTGGTGTTATGTTGGGCTATGCTGTTCTGTGTGCTATGCTGGACTGGCCTGTGCTGAGCTATGCTGGGTTTTCTGGCCTGTGCTGTGTGTGCTGGCCTGTGCTGTGCTGTGTTGTGCTGGCCTGTGCTATGTTGTACTGTGTGGTGCTGGCCTGAGCTGAGCTGGCCTGGGCTAGGCTGAGTTGGGCGGGCTGGCTGGCCTGGGCTGGGTTAGGCTGTGCTGAGATGGGCTGTGTTATGCTGAGCTGTGTTGGAATGGCCTGAGCTGTGCTAGACAGGGCTATACTGGGCTTGATTGTACTATACTAGGCTGAGCTATGTTGTACCGTGCTATACTGGGTAGGGCGTGCTGGACTGGACTGGACTGGGCTGGGCTGGGCTGTGCTATGTGGATTAGGTTGGAGCAGATGATGCTAGTCTAAATTGAACTGGACTGTGTTGGGATGTGCTGTACTAGTCCAGGCTGTTCAGAGATAGACTGAACTAGGCTGACTTGCACTTGGCCTGGCTACCTGAACTGAGATACACTAAGCCAGGCTGGGTTACACTAAACTGGACTAGTTGGGCTGTGCTTAGATAGCCTGAGCTAGGTTAAATTGCACTGAGAGAGGGTAGACTGAGCTAGGCTGGGTTTGTCTCTATTGGACTAGGCTGAAAAACCAGGATTGGAGCTAGGCTGGGCTAAGTAATCCTGTTTGGACTTGTCTGAGCTAGAATGGGATGAGATGAAGTATGCTGAGCTGGATCAGACTAAACCGAGTTAGGCTAGGGTGGGGGGTCTGTTGGACTGGGCTGAAAAGATATAAGCTAGGATTGAGCTAGGCTAGTCTTGTGTGGGTTCAACTAAGTCAGGCTCACGCAAACTGAGGTAGCTATTTTAGACTAGATTAGCCTGGCCTGGACTGGGCTGAGCTTGGCTGGACTTATTGACCTGAGCTGAGCTGAACTAGCCTGGACTCAGATAGAGTTGGCTAAACAAGGATTAGGATAGATTAATCTGATCTATGCTGAGCTGGGCTGGACTGTCCTTGGTTGGACTTAACTGAGCTGAACTACACTGACTTAAGCTGAGCTTGGTTGGACTGAGCTAAATTCTCTTTGAATGGGCAGAGCACAGAGGTGTTAGAGGGAGTTGGAATGGGCTGGACTGTACTAAACTAGGCTGATCAAGAATGACTGGGCTGGGCTAGGATGGGCTCAGCTGGGCTGGGCTGGACAGGATTGAGCCTGTTGCCTGTAATGGGTTTAAGCTGAGCTTACTGGACTGGACAGGATAAGCTGGACTGAGTCTGACTAAGCTAGGTTAGTCTGCACTATAGATAGGACTTACCTAAATTGATTTGTCTTTTCTGGTATCAACTAGACTTCCTGGACAAAACAAAGTTAGGTTAGATGAGGTGGATTTGGTTGAACTGGACTGTTATATTGTTATATTGAACTGACCTTTGCTAGAAAGATATGCACTTCGCTGCGTAGGCTTGGCTTATCTAGGTTCAGCTTGAAAGACTAATTAGGGTGGACAAAGCTGTACTGTGTGTTTTTTCTAAGTTTGCAGGCAACTTCTAAACTACTAAACTGGGAAGCTAAATTAGGAAAGACCAAAGGATTTGAAGATCCTAAGACAGGAAATGAGCTCTGGTGGCCTAGTGGGTAAAGAGCTACCAACTCAAGGCACATGGTTCAAATCCACCAGCTGCACATTAGGAGAGAGATGAGCAATCTACTGCTGTAGAGTCAGCTATGAATCAGTTCTGACTCAACAAGATTTGAGGAGGGGAGGGCAGAGAAAAAAAGGCAAACATGCATGCCAAGCAGTGGGCTGGTTAGGGAAGGAACATATGGTGGGTGCTGGCGAGTTCTCTGCTCGCTACTCATGGATGTCAAGGCCAGGCATGTCCCATACTTAAAGGTCAGTAGATGGAATCCCCTGAGAGGCGAATAGGGAGAGTAGAGTACCTGAAGGCTTGGATGGTCAAGGAAGGAGGAGATGAAGAAGTCAACCAAGGTAGAATGGTAAGGAGATTGAGAAACTGCGCCTAGGGGCCTCAGCTAGCCAGGGGGCCAGAGAGGATAGCAATGGGACTTTCCCACAGTGAGTTCTATAAGAACATTGAGATGAGGTCCCAGAGGAAACATTCTAGTGTTTATTGTAGGAGACTTTGTTCTCTGTTTTCTAATGAAGGCCCAAGAGTAGGAGGCAAAGGATTGTCAGCAGAACTCCATCAGGAATAAGTCATCAGAACTCTGTGTAGTGGGCAAAGTGGACAGTCTGTTGCTTCCAAGAGGGATCTATGGTTCTCCAGGTCTCAGTGAGGAATCTGTAAGTGGAAGGGCAGAGGAAACAGCCTGTCTCTCCATGGCAGTTTCTTGGTTTCCATACACCTAGCAGGGTCTATGGGTAGAAGCTGGAGGACAAACTGGTAATTCTTAGGCCCCCAGTGAAAGTCTATGAGTAGATATTAGAAGGCAGCCTGTTTATTCCTAGGGTATGTCCCTGGGCCCAAGTGAGAACTCTGTAGGTGACTAAAAAAAGAAATAGCCTGGTAATTCCCAAAGTTATCTTTAGGCCCCAGTGGAGATCTATAGTGAGTGGGTAGAGGGAACAGATTGGTGAATCCTGAGAGTCCTTGCAGCGGGGGTGATTGTCTCTAAGCCTCAGCATCACAAATAGGCCAATACCTCTGCTCCTGAAGGAAAAGAACTCTGAGGTCCAGTCGCTCAAAGCCAAGGATGAGTCTACCCCAAGAACAGTCTCATTGCTGAATATAGCCTGACAGTAGTGATGGAGCAATTGCTTCTACAGGGATGCAGAGGGCATCAGATGATGTCTTGGGACCAGGGCTTGTTGGAGGAAAGGTATCCTGAGAGAGTGGGGAAAGGACCTAAAGTGGCACTCCAGGATGGAGCAGGGTTCTCGTGCCTCCACTGTGTCAGCCACCCAATCTCTGCCCTAAGTCTCCTCTCAGCAAACCCAGAGGCCCAGGGAACAGCCACCCAGACATCCAAGAGTGAAGGTCTCATGTGATTCCAACCCTTGGTCCTGTCTCCACAGCCTCCCTCCAACCCCCCTCCATCTTCCCCTTGGCCTTATGCTGCAATGACAAAGACAAAGCATCTGTGACAGTGGGCTGCTTGGTGACTGGCTTCATCCCAGAGCCAGTGAAGGTGACCTGGGACACTGGTTCCCTGAACAACAATGCCGTGACCTTACCTGCCACCCTTCACACAAACTCCAGCCTCTATACCACAGTGAGTTGGGTGACTGTGTCAGGAGAGTGGTCTCAACAGAAATTCACCTGCAATGTGGTGCACAGTCCGTCCAACAGTACCGACAAGAAGACGTTCGGTGGTAAGCCTGGGCTGGGGTCACTGCATCAATAGCAAGAAGGAATTCCAGAAAGTGAAAGGCTGAGCCCAAACCGCCACTCACGGCTTGTCCGATAGAAGGGAGGAGAATAGGGAACAGTCAGTCAGCTCAAGGAGCGCTATTGCTTATTGTTGCTCAGTGCATTCAAGGTCCTACACTGGACTGAGGAATGGGGACAGAGGTTGAGACTCAGAACTCAAGGAGATTATGAACAACACTATCCTTCAATGTTGGCAGCACCCTGCCCCTACTGCCTGCCCTCCACTCATACTTGGTCCATTTTCCCTCAGCATGTTCCAAGAACGTCATCTCGCCCACCATAAAGATCTTCCACACCGCTTGTGATCCCCACAATGACCCACAGTCCAAGATGTATCTGCTTTGCCTCATCACCGGCTACACTCCAGGGGAAATCAAGGTCACCTGGCTGGTAAACGGAGAGGAGGACTTGAGCCTCTACCCAGCCACCTCCCAGCCCAGGCTGGAGGGCAAGCTGGCCTCCATCTCTAGTGAGCTCAACATCACCCACGGCCAGTGGATTCCAGAAAGGACCTACACCTGTAAAGCTACCATCCATGGCATGTCCTATAAGTCCAGTGTAAGAAGGTGCACAGGTATGGCCCCTACCATTGACCCAGGCACTGGTCATCTGACGGGGGCCAGAGTCTAATCCACTCCTCCTCACTACTCCTTCTCCCTACAGATTCAAAAGCCCGAGGAATAGATGTTTACCTCATTCCACCCAGCCCCTTGGACCTCTATGTCAACAAGATGCCTAAACTCACCTGCCTGGTTGTAGACCTTGCCAGTAAGGAAAGTCTTAATATACAATGGTCCCGGGACAGGAGGACTCCTCTGCAGGATGTCCAAACCATGACAAAGGAAGAAAATAATGCAACATATACCGCTATATCCACTTTGTCAGTGAACATCAAAGATTGGGTTGCGGGTGAGACTTACTACTGTATGGTGTCCCACAATGATCTGCCTGAACAGATACAAAGGTCAATCACGAAGCCCACAGGTAAGCCAGAGACCGGCAGGGCAGGGCCAGGACCAGGCAGGCTGAGCAGACAGGGAGATGGTCATGTTGTCCCTGTGTGTCTCCCCACAGGCAAGCGTTTGGTGCCCAGTCTTCACGTGTTCTTGCCACCTGAGGAGAAAAACGAGGACAGGCGCACACTCACCTGCCTGGTCCAGAATTTCTTCCCCGCTGATATCTCGGTGCATTGGCTGCAGAATATGGTCCCCGTACCACCAAATCAAGTCTACACCAGCGAACCCAAGCCAGTCAAGGGCCTTACCAGTACCTTCTTCAGCTTCAGCCTCCTGGATGTCAGCAAGGCCGACTGGGAGAAGCACACATTCACCTGCCGAGTGATCCACGAGACGCTGCCCGGAAACAAGACCCTCACGAAATCGGTGTCGAAAGACTCCGGTAAATGATGCCCCTGCCCCCCCCCCGGGTGCTGGCTGGTGGGATGGGGCGTGGAGGCTGCCCAAACCCTTCACCTTGTGTGTAAAGAGCCTGGGAAACCACCCCAATAAACACCTAGAGCCTACTTGGAGTCCTGAGCCATCTTTGTGGGACACACTGACCTACGCCCCAGTCCTTGAAATTAATAACCCCCAGGGGAGTTACAGGAGGAACTAGGTGGGCTCTGTGCATCCACCTGGGCACTGGAAAGTGTATGCCAAGTTGCCTTCCCATTCCACACTGGGCCTGACTGACCTGCTCACAGGGAGCAGCAGAAGGACACTCTAGTTCAGCCACTGTGGTCCTTCTCTCTCCTGGAAACCTCAAGGTCTCAGCCTGCTGTCCACATCTCTCAGGCATGGGATCTCACTCACCAGTCTAGATGGATACTCATAGCTCTTCTGGGTGGGAAAGCCAGTAAATTAGGCCATCTCATAGGCACAGATTCACAGAGACATTCCCCACCACCATCCCACATCCATGCACACTGCAGAGAACATCATACACACATTCCAAGCCTATCAAAAACATACTCCAGGCCTACCAGATACACACAGCAAATTTACCACACATATCCAACTTAATACATGCCCTTTGACCCTACCCTGCCCACAGGCAAGTCACTCAAGGGCCTGTACAACTGCAGGTCCCAATCCAGGCCCAAGGATCCGTACTGAGGTACATTCTAGCCCATATTGGCCACAGTCAAGCCTTCACTCCTTTCCGCCATCCTGACAGCTACAACTATTGTCAGTGGTCACACATAGACAAATATGCATGTACACACAAATCACCCCCACACCTCACCTCATCCCAGTTCCCTGTAGAAGGTGCTGCCTCCGAGACAGGTGAACTGCTGGCCATACATTTCTTCTATGGCCCCAACCTTCTATAAGACTACTCATGTCTGCTGTACCTCACAGACACATGCGCACAAAGCCAACTTTGTCGGGACCTTTGGAGTGTAATGAAGATGAAACCAACCCAGAGCAAGCTGCTAGCTTGGTGAGGAACCTGAAATGAAGGGCCAAGCTCACCCCATTATCATCTAAACTGTGTGAACCTCTAATACACCTACACACACCACTCAACCACTCTACAAACACTGCTAACAGTCACATTCACATCAAACCCATCTCACACACACAAGCACATCACATGCATACACACATGTACACACGAATCAGACTCACCATATAAACACTGTTGACCAGCACACTCACACCAAGCCATCACACGCACACACACAAGCTCATAGCACACATGCATACACACCCATCCACACTTAAACATGCACAAACTATATCACATCCAAACTCTGCTGATCATTGTACTCACACCAAAGCCATCACACACACATGTACCAATATCATCACACACATGTACACACACACTTACACACTCTAGACTGCGTATACATACATCAACTCCATCACACACACCAAATGCATCAAGATCTCACATGCACACACATACTAAGCCCACACTCACATTAAAAAATCCATCATGTACAATGTAAACCCTGAACCCATTACACATATGCACACATTCCAGGCCCATCAAACCCACACACCAACAGACACAGCCAGCACACACACTGATACAACTGACACACATACCTATACATACACGCAAAGTAAGCCATCTCACACACACCCAAAACCTACCACATTTACCCACATATAGCAAACTCACCATACAACAGACACAAACACACTCAACATTTGCACACAGCAGTGCAAAACATTCATACATGTGTGCTTTAAGAAATTCAGTATTCACACTGAAGACATTCCCAACACATGCCGCAAGACCTGTGCACTCCAACTCTCCCTCGATCTCAATGGGAGGGAAGCTAGACACTCTGGATCCTGTGCACATACTCACTCCTCACAGCTAAGACCCCAGGCCCCTCACTGGCTACTCTCCGCCCCTTCCCTGTACCAGGAAAGGAGAGACCTCCATCTCTGCCAGGAAAAGGGAGACCCCACCCAGACTAGGGAAAGGAGAGACCCCTGGCCTGTCCCAAGAAAGGAGAGACATCCTCAGCCCTATACTGAGACAGGAGAGACCCTCACACTGTAACAGAAGAGGAGAGAACTCCACCCTATACCAGGAGAGGACAGACATCCCTTCCAGGTCAGGAGAGGCAGAGGGGAAAATCTTAACTGACGGCCTGAGCAGATGGCCCATGAATAGCCATCTTCATCTGCAGGGATGAGGGATGGCTGAGAAGGTAGAGACGCGGAGGAGAGAACAGAACCCATGGCCTTGTTGCTGTGGGTCCAAGGCATTGGATGAATAGGTCAGAACAGGATACTGAGACCCCAGGCAGGACCCTGGAGTAAAGGGCAAGTGTGGTCATGACGTAGGCAGTTATGATACTGAGAACTCACTTTGATGGCTATTAACACAGTCTCTGACTGTAGTCTCTGTTCAGTAGGTGCTTCCAATTCCCTAGGGAGTAAGTTTATCCCCACAGAGACCTCAGGTCAGTGATTCATGGGACCTTGTTGAGTCTTCTGAGTGGCTCACAAGCTCAGACTCATTCCAGCAAGACCAGTGAACTAGCTGGCAAGAACAGGGCCAAGGCACAGTGAAGGGAAAGTCAATCTCAAGACCATGTGCAAGAAGAAACCATTGGCCCAAGAATTTACAGTCCTCCTGATTATGGCCATGCAGTGTCATTCTAAAGGAAAGGTCTGGCTTGGAGACAGAGCCAGGCTGGGTGGAACAATGTAGAAGGCAAGAAGATGCCAGCCCCCTAGGAGTGAGACAGAGGAATGGCAAGTCAGAAGGAGCAGTGACCTGCCTGCCCTGCAATCCAAGGCTTAAGAGAGCAAAGGATGCAGACTGCTCCCACAGGACTATAGCCAGTTGGTAAACTTTGGCCACAGTTGACTATAACTGGAGGTTCGAACAAGACAGGACGAGGAGTTTCCAACACCCTGGGCATCTGTAAGGGCCTCTGACCTACCATGAGGACATCAAACCCCAATTCCCTTCACTTGCTGAAGATTACCCAAGTCTCCCCCTTTCTTACAGCTGTGCTGAGACCAGCACTTACTGTCCCATCTCCTCAGAGCTGGACCTTCAGGACTTGTGCGTGGAGGAGCCGGAGAGCAAGGAGCTAGAGGAGTTGTGGACTAGCACCTACATCTTCATCATTCTCTTCCTGTTCAGCGTGAGCTACAGTGCCACGGTCACCTTAGTCAAGGTCAGGGCATAGCCAACTGGGCTGGGGAGGCAGGAATGCGGAGCCACTCTGCTGGGCTGGCCTTACTTCTGCCCTCTCACAGGTCCAGTGGGTCTTCTCAACCACATTGCGAGGAAAACCCCAAGACGTCCACTACTACAGCAACATCATGTAGCCAGGACATCCCGTACCAGGAGACCACGCTGGCGCTAACCAACTGGAGTGCTGACCTCACTGTCTTGTCCTAAGTCTGAGCCCATGGTTTCAAACTGTCCCCAAACTACACACTCTGTTCAGGGTGGGATGGAGATAGGAGTAGGTGAGCATTCAGAGGGGCCTCCCTGTCCCATGGACTGATTACCAATTCCAGGGTTCGTGGTATCCAATGGAACCTTCCAATGACAGCCCTTAAAATTCAACTTTGAGATGGTCTCCAGAATAATACCTACATCCCCCACTGAATGAGTTGAGCTGAAGTCACTCCGTTCTGACTGAACAATTACCTATTCATATTGAACAAGAACCTGAAGCCATGAGGTCCAGAACCCATAGCCTAACCAAATATCAAAAGCCCGGAATTTAGACTCAAGTCAGGATCCACAGCTCAACTCCAGATATATAGCCCAATCCAAAGCCTACAGTCAGAATCCAACCTGGGATGCACAGCACATCCCAGGACTAACAACCCAACCTAGCACCCAGAGCTACACTCAGGACCCAGACTCTGCAGCTCACAGCCCTGTCACCTAAAATGCAGCCAACCAAAAGCTCAGAATTCAGATTCTGAGTCAAGCCTAGAACGCAAAGATCAGCTCTGTCCAAGGCCGGGCATTCCTCTCCAAAGTCAGCCAGGCCTCTTTGGCCCCCAAGGCCATATCTCCTGCTTTTTTGTGATTCTCATTCCCTCCCCTTTCACTTCCACCCATCTTTCCTGCTGTCCTCTCCCAGAACAGTATCCCTGTAGACAGAGGAAGCAAAGACACCTATCTAGTTAAGGGTCACTTTACTAGCTCAGGCTGAGGCAGAGCCCTTGGGGAGTGAGTCAGCATTATATCGAGGGTTGGGGAGTTTCCAGTGGGGCCCATATGTTGACCACACAGACTCACTCGCTTTCTCTCTAGACCTTGGTTAATCTGTTTTCTTCTTGGGTTTCTTAGTAAAATTTCCATCCACAACACCTCCCTCTTGTCACTGAGCATGTTTTGGGTAGGGTATCTTCATTTACGGAGTGAAAATTGGAGAATATGTGTTATTCATGACAAAGATTTCCTCATACACAAAAGTCCCTCAGGATAGTGGCTTTCACAGACCAAAGTCAAGATATCAGCAGCAGGAAGGAAAATTTCTAATAATTAGAAAAGTTACAGTAATAATATAACTAAGGAAGCCTTCTCAGCCTATTGGAGACCTGTGAGCCCGTTAGGACTACCTTACAGGCCAGATCCCAAGCTCCCATGTATCCAGACCTTTGGCAGACCTTGAGGCCCTGAAGGAAAACATCTTTGGCCTCAGGAAAGGTGCTGACTTGGCCTGAAGATATAAAGACAGAGACAGGAATGAGCTTGGAAATGAGCTCAGCTTGCCCAGCTCTCCTGGGATCCATAAAGCTGCCTCCTAGTCTCCTGATCAGGGGATTCTCAATCCAATCTCCTTGTACTCACTAGAAGGTTTTTTCTAGATTATCACCACTAATGCTGAGGAAGTCTGGATTTTTTTTTCCCCCAAGCCCCCATTCTGAGAAGGTCAGACATCTTTCCAGGAGAGAGAATTTCCCATGTACATTGGTACCATGGGCATTCTAGTGGCCTAGTGGCAAGAAGCTGTGCTTCCAACTCAAAGACACATGGTTCAAATCCTCTAGTTGCTATGGAAGAAAGATGGACAATCTCCTCCTGGTCAATTAACTGCATCTGAAAACCCCCTGGGAGATCAGATGTGGATCAGTCCCTACTTGATGGTACACAACAACACATATCTTTCACTGCCTATGCCTCCCAATGGTGCCATCCCTGGAACACAAACTGTCTGGATTTTTGTGTATAACTAAAGACCTAAGCAATGGATGAATGGATGGATGGATGGATGGATGGATGGATGGAAAGAAGATGGATTAATAGACAAGTGAATTTTGGTGTAAACAGTCTAACTGCCTTCCATGTAATTACACAAGGGTGGTCCTCAGAGGAAGAGATGAGGAACAAGTTAGGTGGGCAAAAACTACTGATCATGACACCTGAACCCATGAAGGTTTAGAGCCTAACCCACTACCCAGAGCCCACAGCCCAACCACCATCTAAAGCTCAAAGTCTGGATCCAAGTGAGGATCCACAACTCAACCCAAGATACATAGTTCAACCCAAAGTCTAGAGTTGACCACACAGACTCACTCGCTTTCTCTCTAGATCTTGGTTAATTTGTTTAACCTTTTCAGGACAATAGGGTGAGAACCACAAAGCAGGAAAACCTTGGGCAAACATTTTGGAGGACAGCATTGTGTACACAAGGCAAACAGGCTCTGTACCTGGCCCCACTTACTGAGGAGTTTTCAGATCTGTGAGACACTTGCATGTGCACTGGGATGAAGACTGACTGGTCCTCTCCAACTGCTCTGGCAAGAGGAATGATGGGATTCTAATCCCGTGACTCCAGGTTCAGTCCCCCCACCTTGAAGATCTCATGGAAGATCTCCCCTGAGGCCTGCATGCCAAAGCCCTGTTTCACTGTGCCCCTGCTTCATTGAGGCCTTGTCCATAAAGGTCAAACAAAATTTATTCTGAGATCCCATGTCTGCCAACCCTCCCGTGATTCTCTTCAACCCTGGTGCCATTTCTCTAACTCCATTTTGTCGTCCATCTCTGCAGTGGTGTCCATGAGCTTCTAATACTCTATATTTCCATCTCTTCTTCCTGAAGAGAGCCCAGCCACATCTTGTGGTCAGTGGTCTGTACATTGGTTCTGTCCTCCAACTCATTTTCTCAGGTCAAGTCAGGGTCCTGTGGGGTCATGTAACCCAGACCTCAAACACCTGGCCTTGCCACAGTCAGACCACAGACCAGACATGACGTGAAGGTACGGCCATGTCTGATAGGACAGGAAGTGGGTGACTGACCCCAATAAGCCAGACACACAGCCCCTCCCCAGCCTTCGTCGCCTTAGCCTGTCTTTCTCCAAAGTCAGGGAGGGGCCTCATCCAAGTTTGATCAGTGGAGAAATAGCCCAGCATAGAAGAAGAAGACATAGACTGAGGCTGTATGTTACTAGCACAGGACCTGGACAATGCTCAGGCCTCCCACTCCACTCCAACCACCTCTGTGGCAGGGAAACAGGACCATAAGAATGATGCTACACGGTGGAAGTCACCTGGCCAGAAGATGCTGTGATAAGTCTCAAAACAGGGTGAACCCTCCAGCAACCTTGAACAGGTGGGTCTCAACAGCTCTCAAGTCTCCATCTCCACTTCTAAATAAGAGGTTTGACAGGACCCTTAATCTAGATTCCCATACCAACAGGAAATGGATTAGGAGACAGCACAGTGACCCAGGGAAACCACAGGGTAGGTGTATATGAGCGAGGCAAAGCTGGACTAGGATGGGTTGGCAAAGACTGAGCTAAAATAGGCTGAGCTGGGAAAACTAGAGGTGGACTGAAATGAAACCGATTAACCAGACCTGGACTGAGTAAGACTGGCTGGGCTCTGCTAATCTGGTCTGAACAGGGATGAGCTAAACTGACCAGACCTGGGCTGATCTGGAATGGACTGTACTGGACTAGCTGGGCTGAGCCGAGATGAGCCTGGCTGACCTTGGTTACCTGGACTGCAATAGGTTCTGCTGGGCTGAGCTGGGCTGGGGTGAGTTAGGTTTGGCTCACTGGCTTGGACTGAGCTGAACTAGTTGTACTGAGTTGAACTGGTCTGAGCTCAGCTAGCTGAGCGGGGATAGGTTCTAGTGGGCTGAGTAAGACTAGACTGGTTTGGACTTGACTGGCTAACTGGACTGCGTGGATCTAGTCTGAGCCTGGCTAGATGGGCTAGGGCCGGTTCTCCTGGGCTAGATGGTCTGGGCTAGCATGAGCTTCGACAGTAGGGCTGTGCTGGGCTATGCTGGGCTGGTTTGCGTTAGGCTGGGTTAAGGTAGGCTAGAGTGAGCCAAGTTGAATTAGGGTAACCAAGCTAGGCCGAGCTGAGCTGGACTAGTTGAGCTAAACAAGATTCTGATGAGGTGAGCTGGGTTGGGCTAGGCTAGGCTGGATTGAACTAGGCTAGCTGGACTGAACTGAGCTGTTCTGTGCTTAGCTAGTGCAGCTCAGATAAACAGGGCTGGGCTGAGGTAAGGTGAACTTACTTGGCTGGGCTGTGCTAGGTTAACTGTGCTGACCTGAATGGAGCTGGGCCTACCTGAGCTGAGCTTGTCTGGAATAGATGTAATGAGATGGGCTGAGATGAGCTGGGGTACCTGTCACCTAGACTAGCTGTCCTGGGCTACTCGTGTGCTAGGCTAGCTGTCCTGGGCTACCTGTGAGCTACGCTAGCTGTCCTGGGCTACCCGTGAGCTACACTAGCTGTCCTGGGCTACCTGCACTAGGCTAGCTGTCCTGGGATACCTGTGAGCTAAGCTAGCTGTCCTGGGATACCTGTGAGCTAAGCTAGCTGTCCTGGGATACCTGTGAGCTAGGCTAGCTGTCCTGGGCTACCTGTGAGCTAGGCTAGCTGTCCTGGGCTACCTGTGAGCTCAGCTAGCTGTCCTGGACTCCCTGTGGACTCAGCTAGCTGTCCTGGGCTACCTGTGGGCTAGCTACACTAGCTGTCCTGGGCTACCTGTGAGCTCAGCTAGCTGTGCTGACATGGGCTAGGTCATCTAGGCTGGACCGAGCTGGGCCAGATAGAGCTGAGTTAGGGCGATCAGACAAGACTGATAAACTGCCTTGGCTGGTCTGGCTATAACAAGATGGATTGAGCTGAACTGGGATAACTACACCAAGCCAAGCTGGGTTGGCCTGGGTTTGTGTATCTGGGCTGAGCTAGCCGAGTCGAACTCAACTGGACTGAGTTAATCTTGGCTAAGCTGTGCTAGGCTAGTTTGACTGGGCTGAGCTAGACTGACCTGGGCTGATTTGGGCTGTGCTGGCCTGAGCTAGATTAGCTTTCTTGTGTAGAACCAGCTCAAGCTAAATTAAGCTGAAATGGGCTGGATTGGGATAGAGGGGCTGAGCTAAATTGAGATGTGATAGCATCAACTGGCCTGGACTGCATCAGAATAGCCGTGTTATGCTGGGCTGGGCTGAGCTGAGCTGAGCTGGGCTGGGCTGAGCTGGGCTTGGCTGGGCTGGGCTGGGATAACTATGCTGAGATGGGCTGAGTTGGGCTGGAATAGCTGGGGTGAGTTGAGCTGAAATGGGGATGGCTGGGCTGGGCTAGGCTGAGTTTAACTAGGCTGGGCTGGGTTAAGTTGAGCTGGGTTAGGATAACAATGCCAAAACAGATTGCGCTAGCCTGGACTAGCTGAACTGAGCTGGGCTGGGCTGGTTGTGCTGAGCTGGGTTGAGTTGCTCTGAGCTGGGCTAGGCTGGATAGCTGTGCTGAGACGAGTTGAGCTGGGTTGGGTTAGAATAGGGAGAACTATTCTGAGCTAGGCTGAGCTGGGTTGGCCTGGGCTGAACTGCCTTAGGATAGCTGTGCTGAGATGGCCTGAGCTGGGCTAGGCTGGATAGCTGAGTTGAGCTAGGCTGAGTTGGGTTGGGCTGGACTGGGTAGCTGGGTGAGGCTGTGCTGGGAGAGCTGTGCTGAGATGAAGTGAGCTGGGTTGGACTAGCTGAACTGAGTTGAGCTGGGTTAGACGGAGCTGGATAGTTGAGTTGAGCTGAGCTGAATTGAACTGAGCTAGGCTAGGATAGCTGGGTCGGGCTAAGTTGGGCTGAGCTGGGATAGGTGAGCTGAGCTGGGTTGAGAAAGCCAAACTAAGCCGGATTGGATTTAGCTGGACTAGGCTAGCTGGGCTGGATTGGGCTGCGATAAGATAGGTATGCTGAGATGGTTGAGTTGGGCTGGGCTGGGTTAGGGTGAGTCGGGCTGGATAGCTGTGCTGGAATAACTGAGCCTGAGTTGAGATGGACTGAGCAGGGCTGTGATAACTGTACTGGGCTAGCCAGCTAGGGGCTGGGCTGGGATAGCCGTGCTGAGATGGGCTGAGTTTAGCTGTGCTAAATTAGCTTGGCTGGGCTGGGCTGGAATAACTGAGCTGGATTAAGTTTAGCTGCACTAGGCTAACTAGACCGGGCTTGGCTAGCTGAGCTGAGAGGGGTTGAGCTGAGATGGGTTGAGTGGACTGAGATAGCTGTGCTGAAATGGATTGAAATGTGTTAGAATCGCTGAGTTGAGATGGATCACACTGGGCTGGAATAGCTGTGCTCAGATCGATTGAGTTTAGCTGGATTGAGCCACTCGGGCTAGAATAGCTGAGATGAGCTAGGTTGAGCTATATTAGGAAAGCTGTGCTGAGATGGATTGAAATGAGTTAGTATAACTGAGTTGAGGTGGATTGAGCTGGGCTGGAATAGCTGAGCTGAGATGGAGCGAGCTAGGTTGGGATAACTGTGCTGTGATGGACTGAGATGGCTTGAGTTGAGTGGCTATAGCTAACCTGAGATGGATTGAGTTGGGCTGGGATAGCTGAGCTGAGAGGGATTGAGCTGCACTGAGATAGCCGAACTGAGATGGGTTGAAATAGGTTGGGGTGGCTGAGCTGAACTGGGCTGTTTTGTGAGCAAGTTAGACTGAGTTAAACTGAACTGGGTTGGGTTGCACTTTCCTACATGGATTATCTTAACTAACCAGGGTTAGATTGGACAGGTCTGAGATGGGCTGATCCGAGCTGCCATTGGCTGAGCAGGACTGTCTGGCATGAGCTGGGCTTTTCAGGAAAAGCTGGGCTGGCCTAAGTTTATCTTGGTTAAAACAGGCTAAACAGAGACTGAGTTGAATTGATCAAGGAAAACTGAGCTTGTCAGCCTGGTTGTTTCTAAGCTAAGCAGGACTGACTAAGTTAGGCTGAGCTCTGCTGGACTGGCCTGGGTTAGGTTTGACTGAGCTAGGCTGGACCGAGATGTGCTGGGCTAATCTGAGTTGGCTGAGCTGAATTTACTGCACAGGGCCAGTCTGAGTTAGGCTAAGCTGGTGTTCTGTGAACTTGGCTGAGCTGAGTGACTGGGTTGGGCTAGGATGAGGTGGGAATTGGAATAGGCTTTTCTGACCTTGGCTGTGGTGGGCTAGGTTGACTTGGGCTGGGCTGACCTGAATTTGGCTGAATTCAGGCTAGGTTTCTCTGAGCTTGACTGAGCTGACCTGAGCTGGCCTGAGTGGGATAGGCTCTACTGGTTTAGTCTGACTCCTCTGAGCTAAACTAGGCTCATTGGACTACATCGGACTGAGGACTTAGGCGAATGGGAGGCAGTGGCTGAAAGGTGGCTGGTTATGTCCCCAGCATTCTGTACTCTTCCTCTGTGGCTATATGGTCTTGGTTGCCCACAGTAAGTCATGCCTGAATGCTGCCTCTTTGAGGATAATTGGTAGGACAGTCAGCTGGGAAGGCCTGGCAGACAAAGGCGAAGTGGAAACAGATATACAGCCCTCTCCAGTCCCCAGAATCAATTCCTTTGAGTTGTGGTATTGGAGAAGAGTACTGAATATCTCATGGACTTCTAAAAGAACAAACAACTCTGTCTTGGAGAAAGTGCTACCAGGGCACTCCTTAGAGACAAAAGCGTTATCTCATATACTTTGAACATGTTGTTAGGAGGGGCTAGTCCTTGGGCAAAGAAACATCATGCTTAGAAAGGTAGAGGGTCAGTGAAAGAGAGAAGACCCTCAACAACATGGATTGACACAGTGACTATAGCAATGGACCTGAGCATATCAGAGATGTAAGGATGGCACAAGATAGGGCAAGGTTCAGAGTCATTGTTTATAAGGTTGATCCATTGCTTATAAGGTTGTTTATAAGGTGAGTTGTGCTCAACAACTGGAAAGTTCATACCAATGACTGCTCCCCAGCATATGTCACCTACACTCTAGCTAAGCTTTAGACACAAGCCTTCTGCCCTGGACTGTGCCCCTCACCCTTACAACTCCCTTCATGGCCTTCTCCAGTTCCCAGAGAGTGTGCAATAACCAGTCCATGGTGAGAGCTGGTCTCAGGCAGCCAGCAGGCTGGTCAGGAACTGGCAGAGCTGAGTTTGTCAACTAGAACTTGTGGCCTGAAAGCCTCCTGCACCAGAGGCCAAGCTGTGGCATGCACACTGTTGAAGGGATTTGTCCACAGATCACATCCTGTCCGTGAGCTCTGTGGATGAACTGTCTCCTGTCCAAGGGCTCTGTTTGCAGACGGTGCTGGGAAGCAGGATAGCTGGAAACAGCCATGTTCAAGTCACAGACTTGTGGCACGCAGTTGCTCAGGCCCTCCATGTGGCTTTTTTGCGGGGAGCACAAGAGCAGAAAAGGCAGGCCAGCCAGCCAATGGCAAATATCCTGCACACAGACCTCAGGACACTGTCCATCCCCACTGATGATCTATTTTCTGTGCTCCAGAGCCCAAGACCAGCCCCAGCGTCTTCCCTCTGAGCCTCCAGAGTAACCTTCCAGATGGGAAAGTGGCCATCGGCTGTCTGGTCCACGGCTTCCTCCCACCAGTGCCTTTGAACGTGACCTGGGGTCGCAGCGGGGAAGGTATAACCACCAGGCACTTCCCCGCGGTCATGGATGCCGCCGGACGCCTGTACTCTATGAGCAGCCAGCTCGTCCTACCGGCCAATCAGTGCCCAGACAACAAGTTCGTTAAGTGCCACGTGCAACACGACACAAGCGAGAAGGTGGTCGATGTACCATGCAAAGGTCAGAGGGAGGCCAAGGAAGGGGGTGGAGAGAAAGAGGAGGGTGGGGGCTTGTAACTGGGAGGGAGCTGACCCCTCTGTTGTATCTCTGGTACAGCACCACCACCACCAAAATGCTGCTATCCAAGCCTGTCCCTGCAGCGGCCAGCTCTAGAAGACCTGCTCCTGGGCTCAGACGCCAGCCTCACATGCACACTGAGTGGTCTGAAGGAACCTGAAGGAGTCACTTTTACCTGGAATCCCTCAGGTGGGAAGGATCCTGTTCAGGGGACACCTGAGAGAGATTCCTGTGGCTGCTACAAGGTGTCCAGTGTCCTCCCTGGGTGCGCAGAGCCCTGGAACAACGGCGAGACCTTCTCCTGCTCGGCCACTCATCCTGAGCTCGAGGAAGAACTGTCTGGCTCCATCTCCAAACGTACAGGTGGGCTCCGACGGGCAGACTGCATTCCCTCCTGAGGTTTACAGGGCGAGAACAGAGGCTGCTGCAAGGACCTCTACACTTAACCCTACTCTGACCCTCCCTCTCTCTCATCTGCAGGGAACCCCGTGCCGCCCCAGGTCCACCTGCTGCCTCCCCCAACAGAGGAGCTGGCCATGAATGAGCTGCTGACTCTGACCTGCGTGGTGCGCGGCTTCAGCCCCGAGGATGTGCTGGTGCGCTGGCTACATGGTTCCCAGGAGCTGTCCAAGGAAGACTACCTCACCGGGCACTCACAGCAAGAGCCCAACAAGAGTGCCACCACCTATGCAGTGACCAGCATGCTGCGTGTATCAGCTGAGGAGTGGAAGCGAGGAGATACCTACTCCTGCATGGTGGGCCACGAAGCCCTGCCCGGCGCCTTCACGCAGAAGACCATCGACCACACGGCTGGTAAACCCACCAAAGTCAACGTGTCTGTGATCGTGTCTGAGGTGGATGGTACCTGCTATTGAGCCCCACCCTGATCCACAAATAAACTCCATGCTTCACCAGAAGTGGCCCGCTCTTCCCTCCGGCCACCTGTCTGTCCATGCTGGGGATCAGGGACATGTGGGAGGTCAGGGACAGGAAGGAAAGAGCGATGCTCTGCCCAACCATGGCAGGCCTCAGTTTCCCTGCCAGACTGGCAGTTTGGTGTGCCTTCCACCTCTGAGTGTGTGGGTGTTAGAATCTGTGTAGAAGTATGTGTGTGAGAATCAGGGTGTGAACATGTGAACAGAAGTGTGCAAAAATCAGTGTTTGAAGGTGTGAGTGGGTGTGTGGACACGTGTGAGAGTCTGTGTGTGAAGATGTCAGAACACACACAAGTGGACATGGATATAGACTTGTACATGGCCCTCAAGTCCTAGCTAGGAGTGAGATGAGAGGTTGAAAGGCACAGGGCAGGCACAGCCTGTATCCAAGCTCAAGAGCAGAGGGTGACAGGGTGGCTCTGAGTGGGCAAGTGGCATAGCCATTTGTATATTAGCAAGCTCCCTCAGATGTACCCAGTGCGGGAGTTACTAGAGGAGGTGAAACCAGGACGGAGCACCCAGGAAACCGAGGGTATTCTGGTGGATGGCCAAGGGAATGAGCAGGCTAGTCTCCAGGACACCTCTAGGAAGGAAGGTCCCGTAAGCGAGCGCCCCAGCCACATAGTTAGGGCAAGCTCGTGCTGTGAACGCCCAACAGCCAATGCTGCTCACTGTCTCCCCTGATCCAGCACAGCCATGTCCAACTCTCCACACCACGCTGCTCCCTGGGCAGATACGTACATGTATATACACATGCACATGTGTGTACACAAACAACCACATACACGAACACAGGGCACACACACAATCTCACGCAACTATGAGCCTGTATATGCCCACACATGCACACATACACAGCCACATTCACACATGCACCAAGCCTGTATTCTTCCGTACACGCTTACATGCACACAAACACACACGTGTGCACACAGTCATATGCACATACACACCCTCGCACATTCACTCACACATGCGAGCCCATGTATGTCCACACGTGCCCACAGGTACACATGTACACAGCAACATTCACCCAGACACATGCGCACACACTAAGCATGTATATGTTCATACATGCTCATGTGCACATACATACACATGGCACACACACACACACACACGTGCACTCACATCAGAGCCCCTCCAGGTGCAGGAAGTTCCCAACGCAGACTTCAGCCCCATAACAATGAGAGGAGCCCATGAGCCCCTCCGCTGGGATTCCACCAGGCCCAGACTGAGGTTTGAAGCCAGCCTGCCCAGACCCCTCAACTCCCTCTCTGTATGTCCAACTCCACAGCTCAGATTCAAAAGGCTCCATGTGAGCATCCCCAGGCTCTGATAGCCTGTCCTTTCTTGAGCTCAGGTGTGGTCCAGTCAACAGCCAGGATGGGACAGTGGAGAGAAACTGATCAGAATTAGGCCTCAGAGCTCCCGACAGGGCACTCAGCAGTCCAGCAGCCTCTGTGTAGGGAACAGATGGGGAGCACCTGCAGAGGAGCAGCCACAGGCCACAGAGGGGGAACACCTGGCACCACCACACCCACAAGGGGGCAGTGAGGCTCCTGCCCTCATCTCAGAACCTTGCTGACATCTGGGATTGTCCAGGGGACCCAGCCGTGGCCCTATTTCCCTCTGTTCCCAGCACCAGGGTAGAGTGAGGGTCCTATCCCACTGGCCACTGCCCCTCCGCAAGAGTACAGTCACCCAAGGGAGTGTGTCAGATCAGGAGGGGGAAGTATTGCCATTTCTAGAAAATGTGCTTCTGCCACCACTGGGCAGGATTCACCTAAGGGGCTTTCCAAAGAGAAAGGAGGGTGTCAACTGTGGACATCAGGCAGACAAGAGAATGAACTGTAGGAGAACAGATGAATGGATGGATAAATGGGTGGAGAGATGGATGATGGATGAACTGTGGATGGTGGATGTGCAGTGGGTGGATAGATGAAGGGTGAGAGTAAACATGAGTTTGTACATGGATGAGTGAATGACTGGGTGGGTGGGTGGTTAGGTGGATAGAAAGATGGTTGAGTGGATGGGTGGGTGAATAGATAATGAATGGTGACCATGAATGGATAGATAACTTCACAGATAGCTGAATGGATTTAGGTTGATAAGGCAAGTGGATGAATGGGAATTGGATTCATTGAAAAATAGCCATGAGGGTATGGATGGAAGAATGGATGGTGAATAAATAAGAACATCCACATCAGCAAGTCCAAATCCCATTTAACATGAGTGGGTCCCGCCCTGGGACCATAAAGATGCCACAGCTGTCTATTCTGATGGCCTTCACTCAGACTTCAAAGTTCCTTGTGGGCTCTCATCTACACACATCCAGAAGACAATAGGGGCCTTGGAACTGCCCCAACAATTCTTTGGCTCACTGAACTGAAGTCTCACATCTACATCCATGCAGGCTGGCCGAATCCAGTGCCCTAAGACCCTGGGTCCAAGGCAGACAATAGCAGGGACTGAGTGAGTGCAGGCGAGGGCCTGAGGGACTGAGACCCAGGTACTTCAGCGGAGTATCAGATGGAGTGCCGATATTCCCACCCTGCAAAGTTCTCTTCCTAAGGGCTCCAGGACACCCCCTCAGACACAGAGCTCCTGTTCCATCCCAAGGTCTTCCAAGCCCCTATCCATTTCCTGGGGAATCCCTGCTCCCACATCCTCTCTGAGGTCTGAGACCTGAGACAGGAGACCCCTGTCATGGTCTGGGTTCCAGAGCCTGGGGAGGGCCATGCCTGGGCCCCCACTCACTTGAGTCTGGGCCTGTAGGCCGTCCCTGTGTTTCAGATTGGTGGAAGGCACACCAATGGCTGGTGCTGGACGTGCCACAGGACATCCTAGAAGATGAGGCACCAGGGGCAAGCCTGTGGTCCACCACGGTCACACTGCTCACGCTCTTCCTGCTCAGCCTCGTCTATAGCACAGTGTTGACCATGACCAGCATCCGAGGGCCCCAGGTCAGCAAAGACAGCCCCCAGTACTGACTGGATGCACAAGCCCAGGTGTGTTTTGGACCCGGAAAGGCAAGTTGGGGGGCTTGAAATCAACCAGGGGCAGGCCCTGCTCTACACAGAGGTCCCCTCACAGGAACTGAAGATTCAAGCAAATGTGACGCCCTCATCCAGGTCATCCAGAAGGCAGCAGGGAATGCACAGAGCCAGGGCACGCCAGCTCTCCAGGAGACCGCCCCACCCAGAGCACGAGCGGCCAACAGCAGGAATTCCCAGGTCCATGCATCAGCAGCTGCTTCTGTGTCCACATGGGGAAGTTTCATGGAGCCCTGGAGATGCCTCCTCCAGATGCCAGAGATCGGCCTGCACTGGAGCCCTTACCATTTTCCACAGCCCACCTGGTGCAATAAACAGAGCCCAAAGACAAGCTCTCCGAGTCTTTGTGAGAGGGCTGTGGGCCACAGGGAGGGTTGGACTCACCAACAGGGCAAGGCCGCCATATCGCATCCATTGTACTAATCTGCAGAGAATATTTCCATTTCCCCATTAGAAAGTCTGTTTCTAGGTAGGGATGCCGTGCACCCTTCCCGAGCCCACAACTCTTCCTACAGAATGAAAGCCTCATTCACACCAGCAGACATGACAGAGACACAGCACAGGGACTCTGTCCTCATTCACACAGACACTGACAGTCACAATACAGGGACCTTTGTCCTTGTTCACATCAGCACATCCCAACAGAGCCACAGTGCGGGGACCTCTGAGTTCATTCACATCAGCAGAGAAACCTCTGTGCTCGCTCACATCAGCAAACACTGACAGGGTCACAGTACAAGAATTTGTGTGTGCCTTTCTTATGAAGAGATCCTTCCTGGCAGAGGCAGAAGGGGAAAGGCAGCATGTGGCGACAGTACAATAGGAGAGGTTGCATCAGACACCTGAGAGACTACACCATAAAACAATCACAGGGGCAAGTGACCTATGGCCCACAATAGAGTGTCCAAAAAAGATAGTCCCACAGAACTAGTCCCAACCTGCCTATCAGATGCTGTCCTGAGCAACACACGCTGTTGATGAAGCTCCTATCATAAACTTACAGCCCTGTCCTCATCACACAGACACGCTTATCACAAAGCCACTGTCCTTGATGGCATAGTCACTGTAAGTCACAATCCTGGCCTGATCGCTCAACGCTGGCATAAACACACAGTCCCTATCTTTTCACAGTGTCCTGTCCTGCCCTGTATAAAATCCCTGTCCTAATAACTCAGCCCTGTCCTCCTCACAAAGTCATTGTTCTGTCACACAGTCCCTCTCCTGACTCACAGTCCCTGTCCTGTCACACACTCCCTGTCCTGTCACACACTCCCTGTCCTGTCACACACTCTCTGACCTGTCACACTCCCTGTCCTGTCACACAGGCCCTGTTTGTCACACACTCCCTGTCCTGTCACACTCCCTGTCCCGTCACACACTGCCTGTCCTGTCACACACTGCCTGTCCTGTCACATACTCCCTGTCCTGTAACAAACTCCCTTTCCTGTCACACAGTCCCTGTCCTGTCACACTCCCTGTTCTGTCACACATGCCCTGTTTGTCACACACTCCCTGTCCTGTCACACACTGCCTGTCCTGCCACAAACTCCCTGTCCTGTCACACTCCGTGTCCTGTCACACAGTCCCTGTCCTGTCACACTCCCTGTCCTGTCACACACTCCCTGTCCTGTCACACAGTCCC